AAAGAAGGAGGGAAGTTGGAAGGTCATGGAAGGGAGGGAGGGGAAGGAAGGAAGGTCAAGGAAGGAAGGAGGAAGGCAGGTCAGAAGGTCATGGAAGGGAGAGAGGCAGTGACTGGGATTCAGCCGGTTCTTCACACCACTTCGGTTCTTCACACCACTTCGGTTCTTCACACCACTTCGGCAGAACCGGTAGCTAATTTTGTGTTGCCCAGGCCCAGAATGGACTTCCGGAAGTGGCATCCACACAGAGAACCGGCTGGTCACCTCTTTGAATCCCAGCACTGCAGAAATCCCTTAGCTGAATCATGGCATCCATCAGTTGGATCATTCAGCAGAACGATTGCAATTGGAACGGAAGGCTTACACCGGAATGGCAGAAGACGCCTGTTCTGTAATTACTCCCGGTGTACTCTAGGTAAGGACTCTAATTACACAAGCCAAGTCATGCCTATCACGTAACTAGGAAATGTTTTTAATGTTGATAAACTGCAAAGATTGACATCAAGTTTGGCTTGCCAACTACTGTAAGTCTTTGCATTATCTCTCCCGTCACTTTTTGAGCATCAGGCCTGAATTATCTCTCCTGATCTCTACTCATTAGCAGAAGACACTCCTGGCACAAAGCAAGATTCACAACAAGCCACGGTGATATCCAAAGTTAGCTTGAGATACATGGGGGGGGGGGGAATCACAAACTACAAAGACCTCCAGATAAAAGTAGAATAACCACCCTGTGTAGAAAGTATTGCTCTAATCTAACGGCTATTACAATGAGAATGTCCAATATTATACAATCAACAGTATGACGATAATGTACATTGTCTAGTAAATAATGGAATGAAATAGAATAGAATAGAATAGAATAGAATAGAATAGAATAGAATAGAATAGAATAGAATAGAATAGAAGGGACCTTGGAGGTCTTCTAGTCCAGCCCCCCCCCCTTGAACAGGAGAACCTATACCATCTCAGACAAGTGACTATCTTGCCTCGTCTTAAAAACCTCCAGTGAGGGAGCGCCCACAATTTCTGGAGGCAAGCTGTTCCATTGGTTGATTGTCCTCACTGTCAGGAAGTTTCTCCTTAATCCCAGGTTGCTTCTCTCTTTGATCAGCTTCCAACCATTGTTTCTTGTCCTGCCTTCAGATGCTTTGGAGAATAACGTGACCCCCTCTTCTTGGTGGCAGCCCTCAAATACTGGGACACTGCTATCATGTCACCCCTATTTCTTCTTTTCTTTACTAGCCAAACCCAAGTCCTGCAGCCATTCTTCGTATGTTTTAATAAATAGCGCTGATTATTACCTCACTTGGTACTGAAACATCTGCAAGAAAACTAGTTCAGAGAGCACCAAGGACCCCACTAATAAATTTCATTGTACTATATTTCATTAATGTGGAAAGCGCCATGGTGGTGCAGGGTGTTAAGAATGCAGTATGGCAGGCAAAACTCTGTCCACATCCAGGAGTTCAATACTGACCAGCTTAAGGTTGACTCAGCCTTCCATCCTTCCAAGGTCGGTAAAACGAGGACCCAGATTGTTGGGGGCAAATAGGCTGACTTTGTAAACCGCTTAGAGAGGGCTGTAAAGCTCTGTGAAGCGGTATATAAGTCTAAGTGCTATTGCTACTGCTATTGACTCAGTCTTCCGTCTTTTCGAGGTCGGTAAAACGAGGACCCAGATTGTTGAGAGCAAATATACTGACTCTGTAAAGCGCTTAGAGAGGGCTGTAAAGCACTATAAAGCGGTATATAAGTCTTATTGCTATTGCTCATGCTAATGGCTTGATTACACTAGAAATTTCTAACGTGGAATTTTTCACATCAAGTATAGGCAGAGGCAATCCTATTATTATTATTATTATTAATAATAATAATAATAATAATGGAACTGCTTCCATCCTGCGATGATATCTGTAATACCATCAAACATCCACATCTGCCTATCCCAGGTCCTGGGTAAGGACTCGATAGGTAGACAAAATGCCAAATCCAGTCTGAACATCTGGCTGACTGTGCGATGATCCATAATAATAATAATAATAATAATAATAATAATATAATATATTGAACACCATTGGCATTGACAAATTCGCTATTAGTCAATTGCAAAAGGCAGCCTTATTAGGAACTGCTTCCATCCTGCGACGATATCTGTAATACCATCAAACATCCACATCTGCCTATCCCAGGTCCTGGGTAAGGACTCGATAGGTAGACAAAATGCCAAATCCAGTCTGAACATCTGGCTGACTATGCGATGATCGATAATAATAATAATAATATCTGTAATACCATCAAACATCCACATCTGCCTATCCCAGGTCCTGGGTAAGGACTTGATAGGTAGACAAAATGCCAAATCCAGTCTGAACATCTGGCTGACTGTGTAATGATCAATAATAATAATAATAATAAAGTTGGAAAGGACCTTGGAGGTCATTTAGTCCAACCCCCTGCTATTATCGTCAACTCTTCTAAAGCATGGTATGCTAATAAAAAAAGTTAACTCTGAAGTTATTTTTTTTTTACTTTTAACTTTTAAGTGAGTTAATTAAAAAAAAAACATGTGCACTGAATGCCAGCCTTTAATATGCAACAATGCAAAGCTGATCTGATGTTATGCCCAATTAATTTCTGCAGGCTGAGATCACGCCCAGCCTCGCCCAGCAAGCAGGTCCATTCAGCCATCCATCATTATGAAACTCAGATACAATCCTAATCTCCAGATGCGAGGCAAGGAACAGGAAGAAGAGTTCAGCTTCCTGATTGGCATTTAGGACAATAGCAACAGAAGCAATGTTGGTCAAGGTGGAACTATTGCTGGGACAAGCTGGATCTTCTCTATGTTAATTATACCGGAAACACATCAGAAGGATGAAAGTAAACTCAGCGGTGTGGAAGTCCTTGTAGAAAATACGAACAATGGCAATCACGAGAAAAAAAAACCAAACGCACAGGGACAGTATAGGTCAGTGGTGGCGAACCTATGGCACGGGTGCCAGAGGTGGCACTCAGAGCGCGCGCCGTCGCCCCAGTCCTAGGCCTTCAGCTGGGTTTTATAAAACATTTTCACTGCCATGTGCAAAAAAAAAAAAAAGGTTCAATCAATCAGTCAATCTCAACTTCTCCTGGGAAAAAAAAAGATCTTGCAAAGTTGGAATTGATTGATTGAACTTTTTAGTCCCACCCAGTCTGCCGTTACCACCACAGCCACGCCCACCCAATGGGCCACACCCACCCAATAGGTCATACCCACCCAGCACCCAACAATGCAGAAGTGGATTTTGGGTTGCAGTTTGGGCACTCGGTCTCTAAAAGGTTAGCCATCACTGGGATAGATCCCTCTCTTGACTCTGCCCCCAGCTTCTGCCATTTTTTTTCTCTCCCACACCAGCCTCTCAAATACGAATTAGACCCTTCCATTTAGTTTCTGAACCTTACAGTGAAAAAGCCACAACCCCTCTCTCAATATTTGAGGGTCACCATTCAAACAATTCATATAGTCTCACGCAACCACTGCTGGGACAATATACAATGCAGGTCAAAAGCCAGTAGGGCTCAGGGTGCTTTTGCATATGGATGCTGATTTTTTTTCTTTGGAATATCCCAGCGGTTTGGAATGGATATTCCCCATTTTTTATCCTTGTGGTGAGATGGCCAAAAAAAAAAAAAAAAAAGGCTTCTGCAATGGCGAAAGGAACCCGTGCTTTAGAGACACAATGGTTTTAGAAAGAAGTGCTTTACATTTAACCGGTTCCAATTGTCGATTAATGTTTGTCAACAGTTCTTAAGCTTACTATTTTCTTGCGTGGTTACATTTGTTCAGTTTAGATGGTCCTACGAGTTTCTTAAATAAAATGACATAAATACATCCAAGAATCTTTCCTGCCGAAACCTCAAAGATTTGAGTTGCATAGATGCCTCATTTTTCACCTCTCCTTTTTCTTTCTCTCTCTCTCACTCTCTCTCTCTGTCCTCCCTCCCTTCTTTCTTTTTTTTTCTTCTTTCTTTCTTTCTTTCTTTCTCCACCCCTCCCTTCCCCCTCCCTCCCTTCCTTTTCTTTCTCTCTCTTTCCTCCTTCCCTCTCTTTCTTTCTTTCTTTCTTTCTTTCTTTCTTTCTTTCTTTCTTTCTTTCTTTCTTTCTTTCTTTCTTTCTTTCTTCACCCCTCCCTTCCCCTCCTGTCCCCCCTCCCTTCCTTCTTTTTCTTTCTTCCTTTCTTTCTCTCTCTTTCCTCCCTCCCTTCTCTTTCTTTTTTCCTTCTTTCTTTCTCCACCCCTCCCTTCCCCCTCCCTTCCTTCTTTTTCTTTCTCTCTTTCCTCCTTCCCTCCCTTTTCTTTCTTTCTTTCTTTCTTTCTTTCTTTCTTTCTTTCTTTTTCTTTCTTTCTCTCTCTCTTTCCTCCCTCCCTCTTTTCTTTCTTTCTTTCTTTCTTTCTTTCTTTCTTTCTTTCTTTCTTTCTTTCTTTCTTTCTTTCTTTCTTTTTCTTTCTCTCTCTCTCTCTTTCCTCCCTCCCTCTCTTTCTTTTTTCCTTCTTTCTTTCTCCACCCCTCCCTTCCCCCTCCCTTCCTTCTTTTTCTTTCTCTCTTTCCTCCTTCCCTCCCTTTTCTTTCTTTCTTTCTTTCTTTCTTTCTTTCTTTCTTTCTTTCTTTCTTTTTCTTTCTTTCTCTCTCTCTTTCCTCCCTCCCTCTTTTCTTTCTTTCTTTCTTTCTTTCTTTCTTTCTTTCTTTCTTTCTTTCTTTCTTTTTCTTTCTCTCTCTCTCTCTTTCCTCCCTCCCTCTCTTTCTTTCTTTCTTTTCTTTCTTTCTCTTTCTTTCTTTCTTTCTTTCTTTCTTTCCTCCCCTCCTCCTCCCTCCCTTCCTTCCTTCCTCTCTTCCTCCTCCCTCCCTCCCTCCCTCCCTCCCTCCTTCCTTCCTCCCTCCCTCCATCACGGAGAAACCCAACCCCCCCCCGCAAAAGCGAAAGCAACCCTTCCCTTCCCTTCCCGGCGGGGCGCTGCGGAGGCAGGCGGGGAGGGCTTATAAGGGCTCCCAGCGGGCCGGCCTGGCCAGTCGCCTCCGGACCGCGTGCCTGGACGCCGCTTCGCCCTCCCGCGTCTCCTCCTCCTCCTCCTCCTCCTCCTCTTGCCGGGATGCTGGCGCTGCGCTCGGCCGGCCGCCTCTCGCCGCTCTTGCGGGGCAGCCCGGCCGCCTCCCGGGCTTGCAGCAGCGGCGCCGGGCGGAACCCGCTGGTCTTCCTGGAGGTGGGCGCCGACAACCAGCCGCTGGGCCGCCTGGTGCTGGAGGTAAGGCGGGCGGGAGCGCCCCGGCGCCCTTGGGATGCCCTCCGAGGCCCTCCCAGCTTTGCGTCCAGCTTTGCGCGCCGCCTTACGGGGGCGTCCTCGGTTTAGTGACCGACTCGCTTAGTGACCATTCCAAGGGAGCGACGGCCCTGAAAAAGGAAAAAAAAAACCTGACTTAAGAGGAGAAATGGGAACCCTAAAGCAATGAGATTTCATTTCCCCTGCGCCGAAATTAGAAGTCACCTTTGATCGAGCAGAAATGAATTAACTTGGTTTAAAAGTCAAGCCGCCTAAAGGCCAGGATCGGATGCACTGATAACGTGGGAATCGGGGAGAGAAGGGTGTAAAACGGTTGTTTTTTCCTCTGTGTGGGTGGTCAAAAGTACGATAGCTTCCCTGGACTGGAGCAAAATCCTTCAGAAAATACATTGTTGGCTCTGTTGTACGAATAGTCCTCGGCTTGCAATAGTTCACTTAGTGACTGTTCAGTGTTACAACGGCAGTGAAAAAAAGGGACTTAGAACTATTTTTCACGTTTATGACCGTTGCAGCATCCCCAACGGTCACCTGACCTCCGCGCGGAGACTTGGCAACTGACTTGCCTTTATGACGGCTGTCGCAGTGTCCCGGGGCTCACGCGATTCCCCCCTTGGGTGACCTTCAAGGGGGGGGAAGCCGGATTCGCTTAACGACCGGCTGTCTTGCTTCACGGCTGCAGTGAGTGAGTTCCCTTAACAATCCTGGCAGGAAAGCTCGTGAAATAAGGCAGAACCCGCTTGGCGAACATCTCGCTTAGCAGACAGGAAAATTCGGGGCTGCGTTTGTGGTCGTAAGTTCGGGGTGACCTGTATTCCCACCTCCCCAGTTCAGCACGAAGCGTCCTGGGCTTCTCTTGCTGCTTCCGGGCTATCATAGTTTGGTGGAGACGGTGGCTCTCTATGCGCGTTGCTTTTGATCGCGTTTGCGCCCACTTTTTGCTTTGAAATCGCAGGCTGCGTACTGTAAATTGTGTTTATTTGGTTTTTGTCTTTTGACAGCCGTCCTTGAGGTAGATTGGGCCAAAGGAAGGGCTGTTCCACTGGGGTTTTTGAGCCTTTGCTGAGACAGTTGACCGCTAGGCCATACTGCCAGCGGGCTTGCCTATAAAGGAGAATATTTGTAGCTCAGGGTTGACCTGAGGGGGTCCTTGGTGCTCTCTGAGCTTGGTTGTTTTCTTGCAGAAGTTTCATGACCCAACTAGGTAACTTCATCAGTGCCAGAAGGGAGGGGGGCTTGCGGAGAGGAGGAGGAGGAGGAGGAGGAGGAGGAGGAGAGAAAGAAAGAGAAAAAAAGGGAAGGAAGGAAGGAAGGAAGGAAAGAAGAGAAAGAAAGAAAGAAAGAAAGAAAGAAAGAAAGAAAGAAAGAAAGAAAGAAGGAAGGAAGGAAGGAAGGAAGGAAGGAAGGAAGGAAGGCTGTGGGGTCCTTGGTGCTCTCTGAGCTTGGATGTTTTCTTGCAGACGTTTCATGACCCAACTAGGTAACTTCATCAGTGCCAGAAGGGAGGGGGGCTTGCGGAGAGGAGGAGGAGGAGAGAAAGAAAGAGAAAAAAAGGAAAGGGAGGAGGGAGGGAGGGAGAGAGGAAGGAAGGAAGGAAGGAAGGAAGGAAGGAAGAAAGAAAGAAAGAAAGAAAGAAAGAAAGAAAGAAAGAAAGAAAGAAAGGAAGGAAGGCTGTGGGGTCCTTGGTGCTCTCTGAGCTTGGTTGTTTTCTTGCAGACGTTTCATGACCCAACTAAGTAACATCATCAATCCTAGAAGAGAGAGGGGTTTATGGAGAGGGCTGTGGGGTCCTGGGCGCTCTCTGAGCTTGCTTGTTTTCTTGCGGACGTTTCATGACCCAACTAGATAACGTCATCAGGGCTAGCATCTAATCAAACATCTGCAAGGAAACAAGCAAGCTCAGAGAGCACCAAGGACACCACAGTCCTCCTCCTCCCCCCCTTCTCCATAATAAACACCACTCTCTTCCAGCACTGATGACAGCCAGCCATGCTGGCTCAGGAATTCTGGGAGTTGAAGTCCACAGAGTCACCGAAGAGCCAAGCTTCCCCACCCCTGCTTTAAGGAATGGAATTGTATCCAGGCTTTTTCCTTTTTTCTCTTCCCTCAACTTAAGATTTGCAGCTGGTTGGGGCTGCCCTTCTCTCTACGCAAAGCTGCAGTTGGCAAAATAGTTTAATATTGAATATTAAAATTAAAATAGTCTGCCCGTTATGCTCTTCGGTGTGTGTTTTGCCAGTTGGCGGCAGTCAGGCTATTTGGTCCCTGTTCTCCTCTCTCCATCCCATAATGCCAGCACTAAGCAGGCCTACAAATAAGAGATTTCACAAATCTCCATGCTGAACAAAGTTCACTACGGTACTTCAGAGGGCAAAATAGACCCGAAAAAAGAAGTCAACAGCTCAATTTCAGAGAATTTACTCCACTCTTTTTTTTTATTATTTCTGGCTTCAGCTGATCTGTTTTAATTTTTTAATTCTGCTTCTGATTCTTAAGAGTTTACTATCATTTTTGTCTTCAATCCTACCATTTGTTGGAGTCACTTCTTGTTACTTATTACATTTTCCCAACAAAACAGCACAACTCTTGAGTTTGAGGTAAAGCATTCCATCCTGGAAGAAGAATTAGGATTTTTTTCCCCTCCACTACAGGATATATAATAAAGGTAAAATCAAAGCTACCTGTGGGACATTAAGGGTGGAGTCTTAATCCCATTTCTTTATTAAATGCCCCATCCTGTTTAGAGGGAATTTAGGACTCCCTAGTTGTTACTTATATGTAAGGGTGTAGGTCTATACATACGTTGTGTATAGTATGTTTCAAATGTGTGTTATTTATGTTTACACTTTGAGAGGAAGCAACTAAATTTCAATTTTTAATGTGTGTGCCAGGAAAAAAATAACAATAAAGGTTATCTAATCTAATCTAACCCTCCTGCATTAATCCATAAAATGTAAACAGTTACAAAGAGAGGCCAACATTCCAGAATAAAGGCTAAGTTTTGATCGGATCTGCCCTTGAAATGTTCATTTGTCCAAGCAAGTAGTCAAAGTGATGCTTTTTCTACTGGGCAAAACTTCTTTCCTGTTGGGACAATTATTTAAAAAGTATGTATTGTATAAAGCACTTCTTTAGTGATATATATATTCAGATTAATTTTCAGCCCTGTGCTGAATTCCATTGAATTATTTCAACTGTTCTCTTCTATTCCTTGTTTTTGGAGCTAGAATAGAATAGAATAGAATAGAATAGAATAGAATAGAATAGAATAGAATAGAATAGAATAGAATAGAATAGAATAGAAGGGACCATGGAGGTCTTCTAGTCCAGCCCCCTGCTCAAGCAGGAGAACCTATATCGTCTCGGTTGGATGCCCAGTTGGTTTTATCCTTGGAATATACCCTCCAATATACCCTATGGAGATCCTCAGCCATCCAGGTCATGGTTGTCCCGAAAGGCAACTGGATTTCCTTTGCTTCTTTCCTTGAAGACGTTTCACTTCTTGTCCAAGAAGCTTCTTCAGCTCTGACTGAATGATGGAGAACGCGGTCTCGTTCCGTCTCCACCATTCAGAGAGAATTGAAAAAGCTTCTTGGACGAGAAGCGAAATGTCTTCAAGAAAAACCAAGAAATTCCAATTGCCTTTTGAAAAAGAAAAAAAAAGCACCTTTGGGACTTGACAAGATAACAAACTTCCAACTTGTGTGAGATCCTCAGGAATGGATTGTGCTTGCTGTCTTTTTCTCCCTCGCCTTTCTGGTCATAGTCCGCCATCTTGTCCAGATCTTTCCCATGACTAGATCCCTCTTCTTTACAGAGGCATTGGCAGGAATAAAAAGCCAACGTTGTGTGGTTGCAGTGCCACCACTGCATGCTCCTTTTGTATGTGCATGTAGTGGATCCATGTACAAAACAAGCGCTAGTTGTGTGCCAGCCGTGACGTGATGGTGACCCGGTCACTAGTCAACACCTCCTTGCTGTGGCCACCTGGACTTGTTATCTCTTTGGGCTAATTGGCCAGCAAAATAAAATTAGTTCTTCCAACTAAATCAGGGGTCTTCAATCTTGGCCCTGTGATGACTTGTGGACAATTCCCGGAATTCCTCAGCCAGCATGCCTGGCAGAGGAATTCTGGGAGTTGAAGTCCACAAGCAGGGGTCTTCAAAACTTGGCCCTTTGATGACTTGTGGACTTCAACTCCCAGAATTCCTCAGCCAGGCACACGTGCCTAGCTGAGGAATTCTGGGAGTTGAAGTCCACAAGTCATCAAAGGGCCAAGTTTGAAGACCCCAGAACTAAATGCATTTCTTATTCAACTGATTTAAAGGAAGCTTGAAAAGCCCATTTGAAATTTTTCAAAATTTTTGAAATATCTTTTATTTTATTTTTATACACACACACACTCACTCACTCATTCACTCACTCACTCACTCACTCAATTCCTGATCCCTTCCATCCCATAGACTGTCAAATAGCTTATCTTTTGGGAGATTTTTAAATATCTTGTTTAATTACCTGTGTGTATACTCAGACATATCAAGGTTATTCTTAGACACTTTAAAATATTCTTGGAATTTTTTTCTCCCTCACCTTCGGTGGCATGATTCTGAATGTTTGCCACATCATGTGTAAGGCAATTTTCTGGGATGTTCCTTCCCTGAATCATTTGCTGATGTAATGAATTCACATGTAAATACTTGCAGGATCACACCCATGTGCCTAGTGTGTTGTTATGCCTTATGTCACCAACTCACCCGGTGACACATTCAAATGGCTGTGAATAACCATTTAGAAAAATGTCACATGCTATTAAGCTGAGCAAAGCTCTGTAACTGCTGTGCTCAATCAAGTTTTGCATTGGAGATTGGAATGTCCCAGCCGAAACTTTGAGCCTTTAGATGTTTTTGTAGGCCCATTGCCAATTCTTTCCTTCAGTCCTTGGGTTATACAAAATGAATCTACAATATTTGTAGAGGTTTGCTTTAGAGCAGCGGTTCTCAACCTGTGGGTCGGGACCCCATTTGGGGTTGAACAACCATTTCACGGGGGTCGTCAAACAATGCAGTCCGCCATTTTCCCCCCCTTTTCCTTAGCTGTGCTACTCCCTTTTATTCTATTGGCTTTCGAAAGCCAATAGAATAGACTCTCTTGAATACAGTCTAATTCTATTGGCTTTCAAAAGCCAATAGGAATTGTCCAGGCTGTCTCTGCCCTGCTGAGCCCGCCAAAAGTCCCATTCTGCAAACGGTGCTGCACCAGTTGAGTAGTCCTCGACTTACGACCGGTTGGGGGTCGTGGCATTAAAAAGGTTGAGAACCACTGCTTTAGAGGTTATTTTAACTAAGGCAGCTGAGCTATTATTTTTTATGAATGAGAATGTCACCATGCACACTGCAGAATCTTTGCCTCTGATGCTTGGAAATTAAAGCTTTATCGCCGTTTGAGGTTGTCCTCTGGACCAGGGGTCCCCGACCTTTGGGGCACCATGGACCGGTTCCGTCGAGAGAGGTTTTTCCGGAGGGTGCGTGGTTTTGTGTGTTGCTTGCATCCCATGGATGGGGCTTTGCTTGTTTGTGCGGACCAGTTGCTGGCACACCACAGCCCGGTATCGGTTCACGGACTGGGGTTTGGGGACCCCTGTGCTGAACGACACATTTCCCAAAATCGTTGGATGTTAGAAAAATTTGGGGAAAATTTGTCCTACGCATTTCAGGCATCCTTCCAATGCTAGCGACCGAGTATCCGAATTTTGATCACAGGGGATGTTACAATGGTTGTTAAAGTGTGAGGATCATAAGTCACTTTTTTCCAGCGCCATTACAACTTTGAACGCTCACTAAATGAACTGTTGTAAGTTGAGAACTAACTGCAAACTACAAATGCCATATTTAAACGGAGCAGCTGGAAGAAAGAACGTGTTTGTGCAAACCTTAAAATAAAAATACCAATAGCTAAGATAGACTATGATTCTGTAGGTATTCTTGGTACGTAAAATTATAATTCGACCGGGGTTTTTTTTTTTCCTCTTTTCTCTCCATGAGCAAATACAGCCGAACTAATAATTACTGAATTAATGTGTTTTATATTTCAGACAAAATAGAATTGCCGTGTTTTACATTTCAGAGTCTACATTTTTAGCTGTCTCCCTGGCATAGGACTTTCTTAGAAAGCATAATCTTGAAACCGATGGTTTAAAACTGTTTGATTTAAAGGCTGGGGGGGGGGGGCAGTTAGAATTTGACTTGTAATTTTAGAGTGTTTTCATTCTACAATCTCCTACTAAACTGTTAAGACTCTGTGTGGTTTATTTCTGAAATACAGGCCTATATTTCATGAGGCTAATGTGTGTTTTTATACTCTTCTTTTTCTTCGGATAGCTAAAAGCTGATGTGGTGCCAAAGACAGCAGGTAAGAAATTCCTTAAATTATGTTTTTAAGATTGGCTCGGAGATCATCTCAGCAAGAAAATGAAATGCTTTTAAATAATGAATAAATATTTTCTTCGGGCACAAGTGGCAGAAACAGAATCCCTTTGGTTCCTCTCCTTGTAGTATGTGGTTTTTCTCTTTGGGTTAGAAGGCTCTGATTCAGCGCTCTAGTTAAAATTTTAAGGATGCTTAAATAAGCATAGGTCATTGTTTATTGATCCTGTACCCAAAGACTGGGGCTTTTTTCAGAGAGAAGAACAGACTGAATTGAGGATTTATGAATTTGGGGATTAAAAAGATTTTTTTTTAAAGGGAGGGAAAAGGACAAGTTAGCAAAGAGAGGAAGTCCAAATTTGGGTTTGTTTTTTTTCACTTTTGTTTTCTTTCTATACTTTATCTTGAAAAATTCTGGGTGGATGGATAGATGATGGATGATAGATGCACAGATAGATCATTAGACGGATGGATGGTGGAGGATAGAAGTTACTAGATATGTGATTGATAGATGGCTGATTGATAGATGATTGATTGAGATTGATAGATGATAGATGATAGATGGATGGATGATAGAAGATAGATTGATAGATGAATGATTGATAAAAAATAGATAGATATTGATGGATGATAGAATAGAATAGAATAGAATAGAATAGAAATAAGGAAATAGAATAGAATAGAAATAAGGAAATTAGAATAGAATAGAATAGAATAGAATAGAATAGAAACTTTATTGTCACTTTAAATGTACATTAACCAGCATACATTAAAATGAAATTTCACTGCATTCAGCTCTCAAAAAAAACAAAAAACCATTATGCATATACCCATACACACACAAACATATATGAGACAGAGAAACAACACAGACTAGTTCAAATGTATACATATACCTGGTGGGGAGAAAAGCAGCCTGCGAACTTACAAAATGGATGGCATAAGAAATAAAACTGTTATAGAATCTAGTAGTTCTGCTATAAATACTTTGAAACCTTCTCCCAGAGGGGAGCAACAGGAACAAACCATGAAGTGGGGGGTCTCTAATAATGCTTTGAACTGTAAGCACATATGAGTGCTTATAAGCAGGGGAAGTGGATGTCCTATAATCTCAGCTGTCCTCACCACTCTCTGTATGGACCTTCTGTCTGAGGCTCTGCTTCCACCAAACCCGACAGTATGCAGTTTGTTAAAACACATTGATAGCAGATAGTAGATTGATAGATGATTGATAGATAGAAGATTGATAGATACATTAAACAGATAGATAGATAGATAGATAGATAGATAGATAGATAGATAGATAGATAATGATAGAGATGATAGGTAGACAGACAGACAGACAGACAGACAGACAGACAGATAGATAGATAGATAGATGATAGAGATAATGATAGAGATGATAGATAGACAGACAGATAGATAGATGATAGAGAATGATAGAGATGATAGATGATAGATAATGATAGATAGAAAATGATAATAATAGATGGATATGATAGATAATGATAGAGATAATGATAGGTAGATAATGATAGAGATGATAGATATAGATAGACAGACAGACAGACTGACTGACTGACTGATTTCATAGATAGATAATACTATACCCAGGACCTTTGCTTTTTGGTGGTCATGTTGGACCCGTGCATCCAGCTGAGTTGTACAAGCCAAAGTGCCTGGGGCTGTCAACCCTAGACGGCCTGTGGTAATATTAAAAAGTCCCCAAAATAAAAAAAAAACGAAGAAGGAGGGCGGAGACGGAGAAACCAGGAAGTGACAGAGGAAGCAGTGGGGTTTTCTTGCCGTTTACGGAGAAGACTAAAACCTTGCTCCACATTTTGACCTGGTTATTTTGGATTGTAGCTCGTCGTCACCCAGAGCAACTCAGAAGAGCAGGCAGAAGAGTATAAAAAAGACTGTTAACCCCATATCTGTGGCTCTATATAGGTTCATGTGTGTGTGTGGGGGGGCAGAATAGATTAACGCATTTAACTTATTCTAAATATCGCTTTAGTACTGCACAGGGGGGTCCTTGTTTAGTGACCGCAATTGGGAAGCGCTTGCTAAGGAAAAGCTCACTGCGTTTATGATCTGACTTTTCAGTTTTCCTTTGCTTTACAGACCTGCAAAAGTTGTGAAATATGAGGACTGGTTTTTAAATCCCTGCTGTAACTGAATACTCCTTAAACAAAGCAGTCACTAAACAAGGACTACCTATATATTTGTTTGTCGTGGCTTCTGCAGCCCTTGCAATACTTTATCGCATCATTGAGGTCTCTTTCCTTAGTAATGTTGCTTATTATTCCCCCCCCCCCACACTAGAAAATTTCAGAGCCTTATGCACGGGAGAAAAAGGATTTGGCTACAAAGGATCCACCTTCCATCGAGTGATACCTTCGTTCATGTGCCAGGTAAGATAACCCCAAATGTCTGTTTTGTGAAGTTATCGTGAAAAAGACAAGTGACTCTGTGTAACAGGGCGAAAGGCCACCTTAACGGCTCCGGGGTGCCATGTCTGGATTGTGCAGGAGTGAAAGAGGTATCGACCCATTCGTTGGGCGAATTAGGAAATTGCAAAACACAGTCCCAGAACTTTTAGCCATTAAATAGAAAGGAGTATATGGAAACAAAGTTCTGTAAATTGCATGGACATATTGTGTGCGTTGGTATCTTGGTCCGTGCTTCTTGCCCAATATTTTAAGCAACGTTTCATTCGTCCGTTCACCAGAAACAGCCTGGAATTAAGGAGAAACTTCCTAACAGTGAGGACAATGAACCAGTGGAACAGCTTGTCACCAAAAATCGTGGGCGCTCCATCACTGGAGGTTTTTAAGAAGAGACTAGACCAGCGGTTCTCAACCTATGGGTCGCGACCCCATTTGGGGTCGATCGACCATTTTTGGGGGGTCGCCAAAGGTGGCGATCCGCCATTTTTCGCGGCGCCGTGCACGCGCGCCGCGCACGGGGGCGCCGCCGCGCACGTGCGCCGCGCATGGGGCGGCGCCGTGCACGCGCATCGCGCATGGGGCGGCGGCGCGCCGCGCATGCGCAGAACGTTTGTGTGACGGGGTCGCCGTCACACAAACGTTGAGAAGCACTGGACTAGACAGTCACTTGTCTGAGATGATATAGGTTCTCCTACTTGAGCGGGGAGCTGGACTAGAAGACCTCCACGGTCCCTTCCAGCTTTATTCTGATTGATTGATGGATTGATTGATTGATTGATTGCTAGGCTTGCTATTGTTTAATATATGTATGTATGATTTGACACAAAACATGATTTTTTTTTCTCCTCCCAGGGTGGTGACTTTACTAATCACAACGGCACGGGAGGAAAATCTATATATGGCAGTCGCTTTCCTGATGAAAATTTCATTCTTAAACATATCGGACCTGGTAAGCAGGTTTTCCAGAATAATAAGAATGGAATGGAATGGAACGGAATGGAATAGAATAGAATAGAATAGAATAGAATAGAATAGAATAGAATAGAATAGAATAGAATAGAATAGAATAGAATAGAATAGAATAGAATAGAATAGAAAATATGGAATAGAATAGAATAGAATAGAATAGAATAGAATAGAATAGAATAGAATAGAATAGAATAGAATAGAATAGAATAGGAATATAAAGAATAGAATAGAATAGAATAGAAATAGAAATAGAATAGAATAGAATAGGAATATAAAGAATAGAATAGAATAGAATAGAATAGAATAGAATAGAATAGAATAGGAATATAAAGAATAGAATAGAATAGATATTGGAATATATAATAGAATAGAATAGATATTGGAATTAGAATAGAATAGAATGGAATATAGAATATAGAATAGAATAGATTTATAGAACAAAATAGAATAGATTTACAGAATAGAACAGAACAGAGCGAAGGGACCTTGGAGGTCTTCTAGTCCAGCCCCCTGCTCAAGCAGGTTATATTGGTGGTTATATGCCAAAGCAACATTCAGCTTTCTGTTTTTCGACTTGTTTGATTCGAAATCCATATGTGGTTCTAGATCAAGGTAGAGGTGAAAATGGCCATTAGCCACTTTTTCCAGTGACGTTGCAACTTTGAACGGTCCTTAAATGAACTGTTTGTAAGTCAAGGATCACCTGTAACTGATCCTCCTTCTGATGGTCCTCAGAGAAAGGCAACTATGTGATTCTCCCAGCAAATGTTTGTGAGTTTGAGCTCCAACAACGGGCTGCATTGTGACTTCTTGGGGGATTGTGTTCCCTAAGCTTGAATACAAGATACACACACACACACACACACACACACACACACACACACACACACACACACTAAAACCCACACTAAAGGCTTCATAGAGAAATCCCTCTCCATGAATGGACTGTTCTCTGCTTTTGTTTAGCCAAGTTAAATTGCTCCCTTGTTTCTTGCAGGTGTCCTCTCCATGGCCAACGCCGGTCCCAATACGAACGGATCTCAGTTCTTCATTTGCACGGCCAAAACCGATTGGTAAGCCTTGAGGAATGCCTAAAATGTAACTCTTAAATGTTCGTTCTTAAATGTACTCAGTTTGATTGATTGACACTTGGAATATCCAGTTTTGGTCACCCCAACACATAAACAGATGTTGAGGTTTTGGAAAGAGTGCAGAGAAGAGCAAGAAAGATGATCAGGGGACTGGAGGCTGAAACACACAAAGAACGGTTGCAGGAATTGGGGATGTCTAGTTTAAGGAAGAGAAGGACCGGGAGTGACATGATAGCAGGGCTCCAGTATCTTAGGGGTTGCCCCAAAGAAGAGGGAGTTAAGCTCTTCTCCAAAGCACCTGAAGGCAGGACAAGAAACAACGGATGGAAACTAATCAAGGAGAGAAGCCACCTAGAAACAAGGAAAAAATTCCTAACAAACCATGTTACTAACTGCAGTGGTTCACTTAACAATTATGACAGGAAAGGAAAAAATCACTTAACCCCTGTCTCACTTACCAACATCAATTTCCGGCTCCATCGTGGTCGTAGTACAATATACGAGATTAAAATATCAAGGTTAAAACCCTGATAAAATCACCATAACATGGCGCCATGGAATCGTAATAGGATAGATACTATAATTTGATATCCGTGGAAGCTTAAGCATCTTAACTACTGCTCAGCTCAGATGCCTTGAAGTTTCCTAAGGAAACATTCTCCAACTTGTTGATCATTAGCCGTTGGTGCTTTCACAATACAGCCTTGAGTTGACCCGGATCTCCTTTCCGTGATGCCAAACACAAAAACAGGAGGAGACCAAAGTAACCAAAACTCTATTCTTCTTACAAACGGTTGGGTGCACATGCAGCGTAAGAGATAAGCAGTGACCTGGGATGGAAAAGTCAGATGAAGCTTGCAAAGCACAGAGGCAGGCGGAGAGTTGCAGACTAGAGCGATCTGTTTTTTATGAACTTGGATATTTTTCTGCCAACAAGTTTGAAGAGATGTGTGAAGAAGCAACACATTAACCAGCTGGAGAGTCTGTATTTCTTGGACAGACATCAATCATTTCACGGAGCCTAAATATCTCCAGTTGCTTAGTAACCTTGAAATGACTCAAGCTCTGCCTTTCTGTGTGTGTGTGTGTGTGTGTGTGTGTGTGTGTGTGTGTGTGTGTGTGTTGGATCAAGCTACAGGTTTGGGTGGGTGTGAGGGAATCTGAGCCTTTTAATTTCTTTTTTAATTACTCTTGGTGTTCAAGAGAAGCCTACTATCCATCAAGATATCTTTGATGTCTTGATATGCACAAGTATAGTATAGGTGGTATCTTGCTCAATAGTAGTAACAGTGAGAGAGACAATCACTTAAATATGAGCCAGCCATGGGCAGCAAAAAAGCCAACACAGTGCTAGGTTGCATTAACAGAGGAATAGAATCAAGATCATGTGAAGTGTTAATACCATTTTACAACGCCTTGGTAAGACCACACTTGGAATACTGCATCCAGTTTTGGTCACCATGATGTAAAAAAGATGTTGAAACTCTAGAAAGAGTGCAGAGAAGAGCAGCAAAGATGATCAGGGAACTGGAGGCTAAAACATATAAGGAACGGTTGGTGAAATTGGGTATGTCTAGTTTAATGAAGAGAAGGACGAGGGGGGACATGATAGCAGTGTTCCAATATCTTAGGGGCTGCCCCAAAGAAGAGGGAATAAAGCTATTTTCCAAAGCGCCTGAAGGCAGGACAAGAAGCAATGGATGGAAACTAATCAAGGAGAGAAGCAACCTAGAACTAAGGAGAAACTTCCTGACAGTGAGAACAAGTAACCAGTGGAACAACCTGCCATTCCAGAAGTTGTGAATGCTCCAACACTGGAAGTTTTTAAGAAGAGATTGGACAACCATTTGTCTGAAATGATATAGGGTTGGAATAGATGACCTCCAAGATCTCTTCCAACATCATCATCTTCATCATTGTTATTGTTGTTGTTATGATGATGATGTTTGGTTGCTCAGCTAGAGCTTAGTCAAAGCTCAGTCTGCTGATCAATGATCTTTAGACTTGGGAGCAAGAATTGCCTTGTTGACCAGCCTTTTAAGTTCTTGTCAACATTCCAGCCTTCTGTTGCAAAGACTTTGCCTCTGATGATCCCGCCTCTCCGTTAGCTTTCCTACCAAAGTTCAGAGCATCATCTAACTCTAACTTTAACTCTAAGAGTAAAACATAAGAAGAAAAGGGTTGCATCTCCATCTGTTGTCAAAGCAAAAACATCCAATGTTAGCAGCGTTGACGGCTGGTTTAAAAATGAAGAAGGCCTGCTTGGTAGCTAATGGGAGAAGTACAGTTTTTTGAGGATTTGCCAGCCCGTATCCCCAACAAAGACAACGAATTTGCTTTAATCACATTGAATTTAAAACTTACTTAAGGATCTGTGGTGCTGTAAATTATCCAGGCATCTTTGCTGGGAATTGCACTCTTTCATCACCATCCAATAACCACCTTCTAATCTTGAAGAGGCCTCCAGTTGCACTGCTGTCCCAAACCATGTTATATCGCCGTTTGCTGGATGGTTTCAAATTAAGGCTTGCTCATTCCGGCATGCTGCTAAGCATGGGTCAAACTTTCTTAACCAATCTTGGTTCAGCTTTTATCATGTGGAGAATAGGGTTTAAAAAAAAAAACAAAACTGAATCTTATAACAGCTGCAAGACTACTGGTGGGGCAATATTGGAAGAAATTTTTTTTGTCTACTATGGAAGAATGGATACTTAAGGTGTCTAATTTAGCAGAAATGGCAAAAATCTCCGTTTATTTAAAGGACCATTCACAAGAAAAATATATTTTGGTTTGGATTGATTATATTCAAAAGAAATATCAGACTGAAAAATTTTATCTTGCTTATGAGTAATTTTTAGATTATTATTAATAGTTTAATATGATTGAATTTATATTATTTTATATAATATTTTATATTATATTTTTAGTATTATGGTTTAATTATATAATTATAGAATCATATAATTTTTTTTTGTTTTCAATTTGTTAATATTTATTTTGAAGAGGAGTTAAAGTATATTATGGATCTGATTAATAGTATAGTTGGGTAATGTTATTTAGATTATGTTTGTTTATTTGTAACCCTGTAATCAGCTCTGGGGAGGGGGGGAGGGATTAGGGATATATATTGTGTGAAATTTTTAAAACTTTTAATAAAAAAAAGAAAACAGGAAGGGAAATTACAAAGGTTTCTTTTAGGCAGAAGATCTTAAAATGTCCGTTTTTAATATGCTGTCACAAAAGTAGCCTCAACATTGACTTTAACTAAAACATAGGAAGAACGGTTGCAGGAATTGGTTATGTCTAGTCTAGTGGGGGGGACATGATAGCAGTAGTCCAGTATTTGAGAGGCTACCACAAAGAAGAGGGGGTCAACCTATTTTCCAGAGCACTAGAAGGCAAGACAAGAAGCAATGGATGGAAACTCATCAAGGAGAGAAGCAACCTGGAGAAACGTCGTAACAGTGAGGACAATTAACCAGTGGAACAGCTTACCACCAGAAGTTGTGGGTGCTCCATCACTGGAGGTTTTTAAGAAGAGACTGGACAGTCATTTGTCTGAAATAGTATAGGGTTTCCTGCCTGAGCTGGGGGTTGGACTAGATGACCTCCAAGGTCCCTTCCAGCTCTGTTATTCTTCTGTTATTTGTCTATTTTTCTTTCTGTTGCAGGCTGGATGGAAAGCACGTTGTGTTTGGCCATGTCAAAGAAGGAATGGACGTTGTGAAAAAAATCGAAAGCTTTGGATCAAAGAGCGGAAAAACGTCAAAGAAGATCATCATTACCGACTGTGGCCAGCTGTGATCATTCAACCTTTGACCTCAAAATGTCTTCTCTGAAGAATCAGAGATGCAAAAAAAAAAAAAAAAATTAAAAATAAAATCCCTCAAACTATCTACTTAGAAATTTCTCAGAGACCACAGAAGAATCCATGAAGAATTCCACTTTGCCTTTGAACCACCTTGCGCTCGTTGAATTTCAATACCCTCGTGTCCCTTTTTAACATCCAAATTAAATTTTCTATCCAGTACTGGGTAGCAGAAAATGTGAGGACCACAGTTAGTCGGATTGTATTAAAGCTTATCCCGCCGTAGGTTAAATTAGTACTTGAATTTTTCCCATTGTGTGGGCAGTGAAGTCAAGGTGACTTCATAGTCTTTCAACTTCAAACCCAAACTCTTAAAAAAAAATGGGATTGCCTTTCCGTTCAAGCTCGTCCCATTTCTGTGATTTGAAGAGTGAACAAACCCTCCAAGCCGCAAACATGGAATTAATGGATTTCCTACCGTTTTTTCTGAACTACTCCTGTGTCTGGACTACAACACGAACAAAATGGGATGTATTTGGGCTGCTTCGAATTAGCGCTTGCAATATGCTGCTGTTGGAATCTGAATGTAGGAATATGGTACAGAACAACTGGAATATTTTTATTAACTTGCAAAAAAACAAAAAAAATGAAGGTTACTTTTTTCGGATGCAACGATGAACGATTGAAATCAAGCATCGGGGGAAAAAACTCTTATGTACCCAACTGATTATATCCATTGTTCTAAATATAGCAGGATGGCTGACCTCTATACTCAATGGTGTATTTCTCCCCTTACCATCCTGTCTCAGAACCAGCATTGCATTGCATTTTGCTTTATTTAAAAGTAGATTAAATACACAGCTGGCAGGCCACTAGGCACAGATTTAAGGTTGTAAGTAGATGGATTACTAATTTGATTTTTTGTGCTCTTAAGCTTTCCATACTCAGTTAAAAGGGGAATCCCAAACTCAGAAAGTTCGTTGGTTTGTATCGTGAGCCGTGAACTTCACAACAGATTTACCATCCTGGATCTCCACATCCAGTTTCACACCATAGATGTAGCATATGTTTAAGCAGGGGTCTTCAAACTTGGCCTTTTTATGACTTGTGGACTTCAACTCCCAGAATTCCTCAGCCAGGCACGTGTGCCTGGCTGAGGAATTCTGGGAGTTGAAGTCCACAAGTCATCAAAGGGCCACGTTTGAAGACCCCTGTGTTTAAGGCTGGTGGGCCACACCATTTATCTCAGGAATCTAAAAGTAGGGTTCTGAAATCCCCAGAATCCGACAATAATAGAATTGCAGTCACTGCTGCAAAATAGGAAATAGAAAAATACTCTTTTATCTGTCCTTGCACCGTGGGGTTTATGATGAACTTGAATTGCTGGCGTAAGCCGCCATCTTGAAATCTGCTGAAGGCAAGCCGAGAATATCCATGCTGTCGACCGTTAAGCGATTGCACGTTGTCTCTGCGAAGGGAGCAGTTAAAAGCCATATATGTCTGTCTTCTGTCAGATCCTAAAATGTGACGATCCTCCTTATGTGAATTTGTAACTCTGTAATGGTCATCCCAAAAGGCGCTTTTTCACTGGGCTTTCTTATTTTTCTTTGAAGATGTTTCGCTTCTCAGCCAAGAAGCTTCTTCAGCTATGACTGGATGGTGGAGAATGGAAGGACGTCATCGATCTCCAGTCCACAACACAGTCTTTTCAGCACTTCCAAAAAGGCTCCACATCCATTTGCACTACTCATTAATGGCCTTGAGGACACAGGTAAACCTCCAAGTGGCCTCAACGACTCTCCAAAAGAAGGCAAATGACCAGCTGTCTGCAAGGAGTATAAATCTTTCCATTCCCCACCATCCAGTCAGAGCTGAAGAAGCTTCTTGGATGAGAAGCAAAACATCTTCAAAGAAAAGCAAGCAAGTCTAGTTACTCTTGAAAAATGGTCATTTCACTGAAGTTACAAAATGCTGCAGTGTACAGGTATCCTCAACTTACGACCATCCTCAAAGTTAACAACCATCACGTCCCTCCCCCTCGATCCCATGATTGTGATTTCAGCCCTTGGCAACCAGCTCACTTACAACAGTTGCGGTGTCTTGCAGCCGCACAATCACAGGTGACTTCCGATAGACAATGTCAATGCGGAATCCGGCAAGCGACGTCGCAATTCACACAATCGCGTGATGTCTGGCTTCACAACGGTGGCAGGAAAAGGTCGTAACATCGGCTTGCAGTCCGAGCAAGCCACTGAACGGTGAATTTTTTGGGTCTCAGTTACAGTTGCGGGTTGAGGACTACCTTTATGCAGAAAAGTGTGACAACAAATACGATACCTTGATTGATGAATTTCTCATTCTTGGAAAGGTGTTTTTGAACCTCTATCAATAATACATGGTATTTTTGTAGCATGTTTGTTTAAGTGTGTAATATATTAAATACCTTTCATAGGAGAAAAACCAAAGTTTCATTTTTCTTTCCCCGACTTCAAGCGACTTCTTATTAAGATGATTTAATTTTGTGAACCTAAGGCCCAGTTCTCAAAACAACGTTCTTACTCTCCCTTTACTTTCAGGATCGGCCGTTTCCATAGTTGAACACCTTCCAAATATATTATAGCTGTAATTATCATAATAGCTACACAACTTGGTTTAGAACAGGGGTGTTCAAACTTGGGCCTTTTAGGACTTGTGGACTTTGAAACCGTTTTGACAGCATCAGAACTTGCAAGTTGCTCGTTTTAGCTATTAATTTTGCTTTCTTGGAAGAATCATGATGGTTATTGTTAAGTTTTACTAAAGAAGTAAATGTTCACACTGATCTCCAATGAAGGTGTGACTCTGTGACATTTTCTGTTCTGGTGTTTTTCAACCTTTTAAGAGGTGTGGACTTGGAATTCTGGGAGTTGAAGTCCACACAAGGTAAAGGTTGCTAAGGTTAAGAAAGGCTTTTCTGGGCTAACTGTTCCATACACTAAAGCCAAGACTAAAAGCTGTTAATCAGAAAAGATGCAATAAGCTCCTTCCATTAACAAGATTGTATGTATGTATGTATATTTTCTCTCTACCTCTGTCAGTGTATATATCTATCTGTCTATGTCTGTCTGTCTCTCTCTCCATCTCTATATCTCTGTGTCTGAGTATCTGTCTATCTATCTATCTATCTATCTATCTAATTTCTATCTATTTCTCTCTGTTTATATTTATGTCCTTGTATATCTATCTCTATTTCTATTTATATATCTTTCTATTTCTATCTATCTATCATCTATCATCTATCTATGTATCTAATTTCTATCTATTTGTTTATATTTCTATCTATCTATCTATCTATCTATCTATCTTCTATCTATCTATCTATCTATCTATCTATCTATCTATCTATCTATCTATCTATCTATCTATCTATCTATCTATCTATCTATCTATCTATCTATCTATCTATCTATCTATCTATCCTGAAGTATTTAGGATCTTTTCACCCTTTCCAGCTGTAGCTAGTGGAGATTTTCTGTGGTTGTACTCTTCTTCTACCAGGAGGTGGCGACAGAGGAATGGTCTTAGGCTCATAAGTTTGCAAAGTGGATAAATACTGTCACTTATTTTCTGACCACCATTCCTCCAGAGCCAATGAAAAGCCAGGTAACACATGACCCGTGTGATGTCCACCAAGAACAAAATTGTGTTAAGAAATATGGCTTGGAGGAATGAGATAGCACAGGCTCGTTTAACGGAAGAAGCAGAGATCTATTGATAGATCAGCTTTCTCCATCACAGAATAGAAAATAGGAGCTGGAAGGGACCTTGGAGGTCTTCTAGTCTAACCGCCTGCTCAAGCGGGAGAACCTATGCCATTTTAGACGTGAAACGAGAGGATTGTAAAGCATTGTGAAGCGGTATATAAATCTAAGTGCTATTGTTATTGCTCTTTCCTTCCTCCCTCCCTCCCTCCCATCCATCCATCCATCCATGGTATGCAGTGGTTAGAATGCAGAATTGCAGGATAATCCACTGCTCACAGCCAGCAGTTCAATCCTGACCAGCTCAAGGTTGACTCAGCCTTCCATCTTTCCGAGGTCGGTAAAATGAGGACCCAGATTGTTGGGGGCAAATAGGCTGACTCTGTAAACTGCTTAGAGAGGGCTGTAAAGCACGGTGAAGCAGTATATAAGTCTAAGTGCTATTGTTATTAAGTATGCCCCCCCCTTTTTTTAAAGAGGTTTTTTTAAAAGTTAGTGGGAAGCTTTGAAAGGATAGCTCATTTTGGAGATGATGGTTCTTTGGATCTGAGATAAAGTAAGACAATGTAAATGTCCAGATTTTTTTTAAAAAAAAACATTTGTTCGTAGTTGAACGTAATCCCAGTTTTGCTTTTGGGGATACGTTCAGCGTATCTTTTCCAGAGTAAATTTTTTTTTCAATCTCCAGTACCAAGAGAGATTATAGAGCTCAACTCTTTGAGACGATGAGCGGAAGAAGCAACTATTCCTAAATGTTTGTGTGTGTGTGTGTGTGTGTGCGGTTTGTGCGTTTTAATGTGTATGTGTGTACTTTAACGTAAACTAAGGAACAGTTTTAATCAGCATGACTCCGTTTCAAAAGACAAGCATGTTCCAATGAGAAATAACAGCACATTGGAGAATGACGAGTTGCTGCATTTTTAATCAATGAGTCGTTTAATTAAAACCTTTGCTAGGCTCAAGAACCAGGATCAACAGATAAAATAGCTCCCTTTGAAGTTGTGTTTCTTGGCTGGGGTGTCCTAGCATGGTGTGTTTCATGAATTATGAAAGAGTTCAGGGAGGAAAAAAAATATCATTTTCCACACAGAGAACCCTGAAATATAATCAGTGTTTCTTTAATAAGGATGGTGATTTATCTTACGGTTAATGCTGTACATGGCGTGTTCACACACAAAGCATATGGTTTCTATCTCTAACCACATCGCCCCAGATGGCTGAAGAACCCCACTTTGGGACTGGTCTTGTCATTCAAACTAGGAATCAGCTGCCATTCATCTGTCAAACGTTGCAAAGATAAACCCTGTTCTGTTATTAGCTGCCCTGTTTTGCAAAAAAATAGAGAACTGGACAGAATTAAAACCGGGGGGGGGGGGAAGGGGGAAAAGAAAGAAATGGAAATTCGACATAAGGTTTATTCTTCAAATTCCAGAACGTGCATGTAGATTGTGCCTAGTGTGTGAAATACGGCTTCTGACACATTGACCGCTGGCTGAATCTATCCCCAGATGCTAAATATGAATAAATCATTATTGGAGAAGTGTGTGGTTGCTGAAAGGAAATGTTACCCCTAGCCAATATTTTATCACACGAGCCTGGGGCTCAAATACCACTTAGACCTCAAGGTATCACCCAATCATTTTGTCCCACCAGTGTCCAATCTTCTTGTGATAGATAGGCCATCCTTCACAAACAAGTCTTTTGACACTTGGTTCCTTAGAATGAGACATGTTTGACTCTTAATTCTTTTCAAATTAGAATAGAGTAGACTAGAGTAGAGTAGAACAGAACAGAATAGAACAGAATAGAAGAATAGAGTAGAGTAGAATAGAATAGAATAGAATAGAATAGAATAGAATAGAATAGAATAGAATAGAAGAATAGAATAGAATAGAATAGAATGGAATGGAAGAATAGAATAGAACAGAATAGAAGAATAGAGTAGAGTAGAATAAAACAGAACAGAACAGAATAGAACGGAATAGAAAAATAGAGTAGAATAGAATAGAATAGAATAGAAGAATAGAATAGAATAGAATGGAAGAATAGAATAGAACAGAATAGAAGAGTAGAGTAGAGTAGAATAGAACAGAACAGAACAGAATAGAATAGAATAGTTGGAAGGGATCTTGTAAGTCATCTAGTCCAACTCCACGCAGGAGACCCTACACCATTTCTGACAGATGGCAGTCCAGTTTCTTTTTGAGATCCTCCAATGATGAAGCTCCCACAGTATCTGAAGGCAACTTCTGTTCCATTGGTTGATTGTCCTCAGTGTCAGGAAATTTCTCCTTATTTCCAGGTTGAATCTCTCCTTGATTTGTTTCCATCCATCGTTTCTTGTCCTGCCTTCAGGTGCTTTGGAGAATAAGCTGATCCCTTTATCTCTTTGACAACCCTTCAAGTATCGGAAGACTGCTATCATGTCAGTCACCCCTAGTCCTTCTCTTTGTTAGACGAGACATACCCAGTTCCTTCAACCGTCCATCCTATGCTTTAGTCTCCAGACCCCTTATCCTGCTCTTTCTTCCCTGCACTCTTTGTAGGGTCTCAGCATCTTTTTTTCTACTGTGGTGACCGAAAGTGGACAAATGGAGAGAAGAACAAAATATTTTAGCAAGAATAAAATATTCCCGGGTTCAGAAACTGAAAAGTACATTTAGTGCTTCAGAACTGAAGGGTGTAAAGATGACACCAAACTCATAGGGGACATCTGGAGTGTATATACAGGAGATGGCCAAGGGTGTGTTTATTTATCTGTCTTGGGACAGACTGACCTTCGATAATTGGCCTACATCGAAAGAAAAAGCATGATTTAATAGTGGTGATTGCATAATCAAGATTCACGGGAAAACAAGCTGGTCTGTCAGGCTTACATTTCAGTTGATGTATTGGGAGTTTTATACTGGAAACAGAGGTGGCCTAATTCTTTTATTTTTCCTGGGACGTGGATTTATGTCTAAGCTCATTTCCACACTCGTAGCACCTTCATAACATCCCTCAGCCATCTCTGAAACGTAACAGGTAAACCTCCAAGTGGCCTCAACGACTCCCTAAAAGAATGCAAATGACCAGCTGCCTGCAAGGAGTATAAATCCTTCCACTCCCCACCATCCAGTCAGAGCTGAAGAAGCTTCTTGGATGAGAAGCGAAACATCTTCAAAGAAAAACAAGAAAGTCCAGTTGCTTCTTGAAAAAAGCACCTTTGGGACAATAGAGTATATATACAGAGATTTCTGCAAATTTATAGTCAACATCATTTGGACACTGGGAAGCTGAACTCATTCTGAACCAAGAACGACACCTCCATTCTAGGACCATCACCATTATCCTAACTGCAGAATAAGAACTGGGGGCAAGAATGAAAGGTCAAAATAAATTTACGGGTATGTAATGTCAACATATCCCTAGAGCTTAACCTTTGAACTTGGCTACTGCCTTCTCAGTACTGCCCTCCCTTGCTGGGCTTCCTCATGATGTGGTGTGTTCCCTGTGTGCAAGAGAAACTGAAGTGCAGGAACTTGAAATATGAACATAAATATATTCTTGTCAAATGACATTTTTCTGGGTTTCAGGGAGAAGGCTAGAGTCTTTTGTTCTCTTTATCTCTTTTCCAAAAAGGGTCCAGACTGCCTGTCTCCAAAGCCTGTTAAGTCGACAGGAAATCTGTCATGTTCAGGTCTTTTATTGGCCTCTTCAACATGGCTCTCCTCCTTCTCC